GTACTTATAAATAAAGGGAACTGATGCTACTTAGAGAAGAACCATAACTTGATAAAAGTCACAAAGTTCCAGTTCTAGGAGCCAGCTATACAGATTTAATCTCTACTCCTCAATCTACCTCATCTTCCTTTAACCTAGGTATCTTTATTTTTTTTTTAATTGTAAGATTACCAGACTGAACATCAGAACATTCAGTGGCCAAAAAGATTCCCCAGCCAGACCAAATATCTAATCTCAGTTTAAGGAAAGGGAAGGAAAAGGAGGGAAAGCAAGGGCATGACAGTTCCTAGTCTCCAGAGTCCATCTCCGAACTAATTATTCACAGTTCATGAGCTACAGGAGCCAATGGAATTGTAACAAATTCTCAAATTCATATGAACAACAATCACTTCTATACACCAAATAAACAATAAATCTCACAAATGTGCTCTACTTTTCAAATGTGATTAATAAAAATCAAAATTAATTTAAAAGCCAAAATAAAAAGAGGAGAAAGAAAGGAAGAGAAAATTTTAGGAGCAATGTCACTACTGAATTATATAAGCATTCTCTTGACATCTCTAAGAACCTGTCTGACCAAAACCACATTCTTAATCCCAAGTTACTGAGGATAATGCCATGGTACATAGAAACCAAAAGTTTCCTACACAAAAAGTAGGAAAATAAATTGATACTTTTAATCCAACAATTCAACATCATAAATTAGTTCATTATTTATTTCTGCACAGCTGTCTCATTACTCGTAACAGACAAAGAACAAAAGCAAGCAAAAAAAAAACAAACCCAGAAACCCTAAATGTCCAATAATAGGGGACCAATTAAATAAAATGCCACAAAATCCTTAACATGAATTATAATGTATTCATAACAAATGACAGCATGCAAACATGAGTCAATATTTGCTATATATTAGGGAGGAAAAATAACACAGAGCAGCAAACGGAGGACAAAATCAAATTGGAAAATACATATAGCCACAACAAAATACTGGGACATTTTGGGTGCTTTGTTATCTTTGGATGGTGTTGTTAAGAGTAATTTATATTGCTTCTTTGTGTCTTTATCTATACTTTACAAATATTCCACAATAAACTTAGGGTATTTTTGCAATCAGAAAAAAGTATACATTCATTTTTAAATGTGAACTTTTAAAACAGTTGGAATAGATTAACTTCCTATCCTAGTTGTCAAATCATATCATGTTGTAAAGAAGACTAATGGAAAAAAAAGATAAACACACTTTAAAATGCGTAAGATTTTACTATCTAAACTATCTAAGTCTCTCAATAATATGTAAACAAGAATCATTCTGTATCAGTGAAATTACTCAACGTGTAAAACACACTTTCAAGGGTCCTCCCAGTTTTCATGAATTAATACATTAAAACCTTAAATGTCAAGATAAAATATATCTAAATATCGTTCCCTCTCTCTGTTCTAATCTCATAGCACTTCCTACCTATATTTCCCATTAGATACATATTATAGCCATGTAAAATACTGAAGTAGTTTTGGCAAAAGAAGTAAGAGGGCTCAAGGTCAGAATCCCGTTTCCTACTTTTTCAACTCGTGGACCTGGGCAAGCTAACTTACCTCTCTGAACCTCAGTTTCCCTCGCTGTAAAACAGAATGTTAACATTTATGGTAAAGTTTTTGTGAAGACTAAATCAAAGAACACATGCTTTCCTTAGCTATAAAACAGAATGGTAACATTTATGGTAAAGTTTTTGTGAAAAAAATTAAAGAACACATGCTAAGTGCTATGCATGATTCCTGGAGAATTCAATAAGCGGTGGTGGTTACTAGAGGCGCATGGATTAGTTTTCAAATTAGAGAATTTTCCAAGCTTCTTGAAAACTGTATAATCTCAGACAAGTTACATAACCTGTGTGAACCTCAGTTTCTGCATCTGCAAAAACAAATACCTACTTTGCAACTTTGTATTAAGGATTAAGTAAAACTGTACACAAAAATCTTCTTGCATATAACAGGTGCTCAATAAATTGTACTTAATATCACTGCTACCTACAGCAATAAACAATTGAGTATAGGGATCAATTCTAAGAATTAATCATCATTTAAATGCATTTCTCTTAATTCCCAAACTAGGTATGAATTTCAGAGAAAAGAAAATTATGACAAACTTTTAAAAATACATTGAAAAATAAAAGTCCACTTTGTTAGTGTCAAAGTAAAAATGTACTATCTATAACAATATTTGCTTTAACATTTTAAAGTCCAAATAAATCTAAAAGAGTTAGAAAGGAAAATGTTTGTTTTTTTCTGCCTTTGGGAAAAGGAAAAAAAACCTCTATGTCTTTAGGAAGAAAATAAAGAATTTTCTGAATTTTTCTATTTTATTCCCATGACTTCACATGTCCTTACACAACTAAAATGTAAGTGCCTTTCATACAAGAAGTCTTTCAAATCTCTGAATTCCTGTCTTCACCTTTGTGCAGAGGCAGAATAATACTCTAAAGACCCAGGGGACTGTAAAGCCAAATTCCATGGGTTCAAATCCTGCCTCCATTCTAGCTGTGTGACCTGAGACAAGTGTTTAACTTCTGCATGCCTGTTTCCTCATCTGGAAAATGGAGATTCCCCAAATTGTAAAAATTAAAAGAGTTAACACACTTAGTGTCCACAAGAGAACCTGGCATATGCACAGCACATTTGAAGTGTTTCCCATTGTTGCTACTGCTTTATTGTTACCCATTCAAAATGCCTAGATCTGTCATTTGTCATCAATATTTGCTACTCTGCAGACAATTTCAACAAATGGCTTTACTTAAAATCAGACCTGCTTAGGATGTACCTTAATGCGACTGTCATTACCACTAAAGCTACAGCAATTGCTGTTAGGATTTCAGGACAAAGTTAAGGAAAGTCAATCCCTTTCCTACACTTCCTATTATACAAAGCTGTAACTAACTTCTTTACTTGCTAATAGAAGTTCAATACCAAAAGGGTTGTACAATTTAGGCACAGTGGACAATAATACAGCAAACATAAAACTCTCAAACTGGGCTCCACAATATTCAGTCATACTCCTTCAAAGAAAAAAGTTCAGATTATTCATAATAGTTTAGTGCTTTAAAATAATAACTATACTGCATGTCAACAGAGTACCACAGAGATTAAACAAGACATTAAATGAAAACGCTTGAAAGTTAAATATGCATTAAATACTAGTTTATGAATATATTTGAGATTATTGTAACAATAGATTTCTCCAATTTCAAACAGCTCCAAAACTAGTAAGTACTCTGTCCACTTCAAATCAGGGGCCAGGATGAGACAAAAACCAGGGTAATGTTGGCATTCCACTAAATCACTTCCTGCCTGAAATGTACTTCTTTTTTATTCATAACTCAGATGGGACTCATGATACCCAAGTTCTCCCCCTACAAGAGAAGTTTAAGTGAAACCATGGAAACAGCCTAACTTAAGCCTAGGAAAACTTACCCTATTAGAAAATTTCTCCAGTTACTAGATCAAACATACCACCCCAATTTCCAACTGTGTTCCTAACCTAGAAAATGTATAGAAAAATGCTGATTATCTTCAGATTCAAGAATCTATTAGCTCTCAAAATCAAAAGTCAAGGACCTATGGCACATTTCAACCCCACATGAAGGCTAGAATGTCTATCTGGCTCACTCTCAAAAGTGCGATTCCAGTATCAATCAGCGACACAGCCACACAGCCGTCATCAATATGTCACACAGGCCAAATCAGACCACAAGGCACTTGGCATCCTTCACTGAAACAAATCCTACTGACACCCTGACTACAAACCCTTGACCTGGCCAACAGGACAATGGGCTGGCATTCAGGAGAGTTAGTCGCAACTCCATTTTGAGACTTTGTTTTGACTAGAGAAATGCGAAGATTATACAGTATAGTTGTAAAACTTTGAGTATGCTTCACATATCTAGTCGCTTTATTAGTTCAGTAACATAAAAAATAAATTATTTGTAACTTGTTCATAAAATCATTCCTGGGCTTGTGAGCTGATGGCTAGCACTTTTCTTCAGAGTCTGCACAGATTTTAACACTTTACTAAGCTAGTGTCTCCACCAGTGTGTAAAACTGGAGTTAGGCCTCCTTCTCTCAAAAATAAACTAAAGATAAGTAAATACTATACAGAAGTACTTTCAGCGTTTCAGAAGTAATTTGCTAAAAAAAAAAAAAAAAAAAGCCATGGTAGTAATGCAATGAAACTCTTCTGAACCCCTAAATCGGGGATCCAGACCAAGCCAGGGTTGCAAGTCAAATTAATTGAAGTCAGACTTTTCTATCTACATTTAAGTTTCTGGGTTGGGAAACTGGCCTCTGTCTATTTAATCCATGTTCTGAGCCACAATATAATGAAATTATTCTATAATGTCCCCCCTGTCCATTCCCTTTTTCAGAACTGCCAGCGAGAAGGCCCTGTGCAAATCTTATAACGTCTGTCCACTTGCACGGATTCAGACGGATTCCACAACTTTTCGGCCTTCCGTGACTTTTACTACCCCTCTGGAGCTAATCACTTTTAATGCCCCCCCTTCATGAACAGTCACTCCTCTTCTCGGCCTTACACTTTGGGCAGCAAACGACTGAGCCGTCCCCGTCCAGCTTGGATGACCTTAGACATCCTGACCAGATTGCCAGCCGTCGGGATACCAGAAGCACGGACTCCTGACCCTGTCCCTGGGCCGCCCGCCCCTCATCCTTCCTAAACCCCCGAGTCTCGGGCGCAGCATCGCCGGACTCCCCCTTGTTCTACGAGCACCGGACCCGCCGCCCACCTCGACCCTTCCTCCGGACCCTAATCCCTCCCCGAGGCGGGGGGCGGGCAACGCTATGGGCCGCCGGACTCAGACCCCGGCGGCCGCGCGTCCTCCTCACCAGGCCCCGCTTGGGCCTCTCGGCTCTGCTGCCCTCCACGGCCACCCTGGCTCCGCCGTGCTTACGCCGAAGAGTAGAGCAGCACGAGCCCGGAGCCTGGCACTTACTCGGGAAGATAGGTGGAGGAGAAGGAGCTCCACTTGTGTAGCGCGTAGGACAGAAGCCGGCACTCAGGCGCTGCAGCGACTGCAGCGAGAGCCCCGCCAGCCGCCATCTTGTCAGCACCGTAGCTGCCGCCACCGACCGCCGGCCGCGCCGAGAGGAGGGGAGGGGCGTGGTCTGCTCTTAAAGGGGCCGCGGCCGGCCCAGGCGGCCAGTTTTCCCGGGCTCGCATCGCGGACGCCGTGCGGAGAGCTGAGGCGCGCGCGCGCGGCGGCGTTTCTCGCCTAAGTTCTCGACGCTGAACGCTCCTTAAGGACACCGAACCCGGGACTGGAGTGTGAGCACCCCAGGGGCTGTCCTGAAGGGGCTTGGAGGCTAGCGGAGCAAAGGACTTTGCCTACAAGCCGAGGTAAGGAAAAAAAAACGAGAACATTATAAAAAGAAATAAAGTGTAGTTATGGGCCAGGAAGGGAAAACGAGAAGACGAATTTGGAGAAGGGGCGCCTTTGCGACTTTGGAAACCCCTGCCCTCATAGTTTATAAATCCTAAGGAAACAGCGTTGAAGGGAATTGGAGTGGAATAGCTAATATTCTCTCCCTCTAGTGTTGTCCTCGTTTTAAATATCTTGTCCGTGTATTCCAGAGTCCCGTGGAGACAGGAAAAGGAAACGCTCCCGTGTCCTCTCACCCTGTTGTTTCCAGCCTGTGATGCCCGTCATTGTAAACATTTGCTGTGAGCCCTCACATACCCATCTTGTGGCACTGGTTTGCTCAGTAATGACGTTCATCCACAGACCAGAAAAACTCTCAAGGAGTTGAGAAGCTGTGTGACATCATTTTTCCAGCTGGTAATGCCCATTTTGAACTCAGACAGAAACTATGCCCAAAAGTTCAGAGAAGGCTAGAGACAGAGTTTCAAGGTAAAGACCACAGGGGGAATAACCTCCCTTGTGCTCTGAATGCCATATGAGCATCATACCAGCTTATCAGAAAAGGAACACTTGTTCTAAATACCTGGCAGCTTTAGATAACGCTCCCATCAGGTACCTGTTTGTTGGGCTTATTCGTGTTTATTCCTTGGCTTACCCTCTGCAGTTACCAAAGTACTCCCCATTCATTGCCTAAGAGGTCTACCCCTGAGAGCCTGGACAGCACCTTCATCTCTACTTAACCCATGGAAAAGCTCATGCAAAGACTTTCTCAGTGAATGACCAACATCTCAATAATTATTTTCCCTCCCCGTTATAATCATTAACCTGCCCAAGCTTCCTCACACCCTCTCCTGATGTCCTGTTCCCATAGGGAAAACTTAGTGGTGTCCTCCACCAGTATATCAGATCAAGAATGCCCACTAGCAAGGCCACAATATGGTATGTTAACCTTGAAAATCACATGAGCTTTGTGTGTTGCACATGTTGAAATAAATATTTGTTCCTTGAGGAAATACTATAACCCTAGTAACTCCAGTTGCAAACTGCCAGAGACAGTGGGAGAGGCCAGAGAAGGTTAGTCCCGAAGATAATCAGTAGTTATCTTTGGGAAAAAGAGACACTTTAAAGAGGAGAATTAAGAAAGTGACTCGGTTCTTTAGTTTTGGGCCCAGAGTAATTTCTTGAGTGAAATAATACAGGGAAATTCAATTTTTTTAAAACCACATTTAAACCAGTTCTTAAGATTAAAACCTTTCAGTGACTTTCTATTCCTTTTGGGTAACATCGAAAGTCCTTAACAGGGCCTTCATATCCTGCCTTGAATACCTCCAGCCTTTTCTCTATCTTCTTTCTCTTTTGCGCTCTTTACTCCAGCCACACTAAACATGCTGAATTGGCTCCTGTAAGGTCTGTGCTCTCTCTGGCCTCCAGAGTTTAGGCTAAGCTACACCAGAAATACTCTTTCCCCATTCTTCACCTGGCTAACTTGGACTTATTTTTCAGATTATTTCATTCTGGAAAATCATTCTTCATCACCTATTTTGGGTTACACACCATTTTCTACATTTCCCTTTGTACCCTGAGTTTCCCTCCTTATCTTAGCATATATCACAATACATTTTAATTTCCTATTTTTTTCTCATTCTCTCTCCCTAAACTATAATGTCCATGAAGGTAAGGAGTCACACATATCCTGTTCAGAGATAAATCCTCAGTCCTGTTAGAGTGTCCAGCACAGAGTAGGTACTCAATAAATATTTACTGAAGAATGAATAAGTTGTGCTAAGAGAACTTGGGTTGCAAAGGAAGAAGACTGGTAGAACTTACCAGACTGCAAACCTGTATCCCTGAGGTTTGATTGCCCCAGAGAATGTGAAGAACCAAGATAGCATGGCTTTCCTGCAGCATAGATTTTACAAATGGTAAAATAATTTAAAGCACTCATATGTTAACATACAGATATATATGTTATAATATTGAACCCAAACTTGTGTAAATGTTAACATAAAATAGAAGACTAAAGAAATTTCAAAATCTGCAGGAGTCTGTAAGAATGCTGCTTACTGTGTATCTTCCCATGAGCTCTTCCTTGGTCAGCCTTTGTAGAGTGGCCCTCTTTCCCCACTCACCTTCCTTTATCATTCTCTATTTCAGCACCATGTTTCCTTTTCCTTTTCTTTCTCTCAAATTACCATTTTTTATTATTTTAATTATGTATTTGTTCACTTGTTATCTTGAATTTCCCTCTGTTACAAGCTCCATGATGTAGAGGTTGTATTAGTTTATAAACCTGCCATTGAATTCTGGAAGGCCAACACAGTGCTTGCTGCACAGCAGTTGCTCAATAGAGTTTACCCATATGTTGGGCCTATCAGTAAATATGCAATAAATATGCTCCTAAGGTAAAGTATAAAATATTCATTAATATTAGAAAAACTTAGTAGCTTTCTTCTTTTAAAACAAAATCATTTAAAACAATATTTTTTCCTTGTAATTGGAATGTGGAGTAAAATTGGTGTTCACTTATTGCATGTGTCATCTAATAACTAAGGAGGGCTTAAGTTTATTTTAAAAATTACTGTATTGATTGACACCTTTCCATTCACCCTAATCAGTCCAACACGGTTTTTCATGCATATTCTGATTATGAGAGTCAGTGAGGTATTTGGCATTACCAAACAAGAACATCTGAAATAGATAAGTATACTGCCTATTTTCTGACCTTTCTGCTGATCATAGTCTTTGCAGAGCTGCAGATTGCTTGGAAATGCAATGTGCCGATAGCTTATTTCACCTTTATCAAGTACTATAAATGTATGCGAAGGGAAGGGGAACCTAAAATTACTTCCTTATAATCTGATAATGTGAGGGTGATTCATTATAATTGTTGTTAATAAATTTAAAATACCAACATAATCCCAAGGCATGTATCTCTGTTTTGCACATGAAAGACCAACTCAGTTCCTTAAGATCATGTATACAAAACCTAAAAAAGTACTACACTTTTTTTCCTTTTTAAAATTGTTTTGTTTCATTTACTTGAACAAATTCAACAGTCTGTGATTAAATTCTTACCTCTGTCAGGAATATAAAAATCTGTAGAAATCTGCCAGTGGTTCAGATCTCCTAGTGGTACACCTTTACCTCCTCTGCCTTAGGGCACTGCCTTAGGTGATGGGGTTTATTGTGAGGATATATGTGGAAGGCCTGGAAACTGTCAGCAGCCATTTAGTCCTTCTAGTTCCCCCACACTTCAAAGATTGGGACATATTGATGGCCTCATGGAGAACCGGACAATGGATTATCATTCTTCAGATTAGAAAAACTTAGTAGCTTTCTTCTTTTAAAACAAAATCATTTAAAACAATATTTTTTCCTTGTAATTGGAATGTGGAGTAAAATTGGTGTTCACTTATTGCATGTGTCATCTAATAACTAAGGAGGGCTTAAGTTTATTTTAAAAATTACTGTATTGATTGACACCTTTCCATTCACCCTAATCAGTCCAACACGGTTTTTCATGCATATTCTGATTATGAGAGTCAGTGAGGTATTTGGCATTACCAAACAAGAACATCTGAAATAGATAAGTATACTGCCTATTTTCTGACCTTTCTGCTGATCATAGTCTTTGCAGAGCTGCAGATTGCTTGGAAATGCAATGTGCCGATAGCTTATTTCACCTTTATCAAGTACTATAAATGTATGCGAAGGGAAGGGGAACCTAAAATTACTTCCTTATAATCTGATAATGTGAGGGTGATTCATTATAATTGTTGTTAATAAATTTAAAATACCAACATAATCCCAAGGCATGTATCTCTGTTTTGCACATGAAAGACCAACTCAGTTCCTTAAGATCATGTATACAAAACCTAAAAAAGTACTACACTTTTTTTCCTTTTTAAAATTGTTTTGTTTCATTTACTTGAACAAATTCAACAGTCTGTGATTAAATTCTTACCTCTGTCAGGAATATAAAAATCTGTAGAAATCTGCCAGTGGTTCAGATCTCCTAGTGGTACACCTTTACCTCCTCTGCCTTAGGGCACTGCCTTAGGTGATGGGGTTTATTGTGAGGATATATGTGGAAGGCCTGGAAACTGTCAGCAGCCATTTAGTCCTTCTAGTTCCCCCACACTTCAAAGATTGGGACATATTGATGGCCTCATGGAGAACCGGACAATGGATTATCATTCTTCAGAAATCAGTAGCTCTAGTGACCCAGTCATCTTGTCATCCCCTCCCTAAAAGCAATCACCTTTTACTCTCTGATGCCTTCTCAGTATACTTCTCATAGTAAATTCCCAGAGAAGAATAACTGAGTGTATGTGAGGTATCACCATTTACTATCTTCTTCTGCAAGGAAAGATTTTTTGAGAGGCAAAGATTTTTTGATGTACCAGACCTTGTTCTAGATGCTAGGGAGACAGGGATAAACAGTCCAGATAAGGGCCCTTGTTTCTTGGAACATACATGTTAGGGCACCATATATAAATACAATACACAAATAAGTCAACTAGATAATCTTTGTGCATTTTAGGTACTAAGGAGGGACTACACCAGTAATATTTAGATTGGATGGTAAAAGAGAGCTTCTCTAAGAAGGTAATATTTGAGTTAATACCTATACTATGAGAAAGTACAAGCCATACAAAAGGCTAGATAATTCTAGACAGAGAGAATAAGCAAGGGCAGTGGGCCTGAGTCAGGAAAGGGGTTGGTGTGTTCACATAGAAAGTGTGACTAGAATGCAGTGATGGTCAGGGAGAGTGGAGTCAGAACACACAGGGCTCTAACAGTCATGGTAAGGTGTCATGATATGGAATTGTGAAGGACAGACCTGTGCAGGGATTCAAGCCAAGGAGTAAAATGCTCTACATTTTGTAAAGATCACCCTGCAAAACAGAAAATGGGTTGTTGAAAAAAGGTAGGGGTTGAAGTAAGATTTGAATCAAGGTTATTATAGCAGTCAGGCAAGAAGTAATAGTGGCTAGATCTTGCAGAGGAGATGGAGAAAGGGGGCTGAATTGGGAATATCTTAGAAGTAGAACCAGCTAGGCTTGGTGAGGGAGGGAAGGCAGGTGGAAAAGGAAAGAAACAAGGATACCCCCTGGGTCTAGATAGTGATGTTTTTATTGAGAGGAAGATTTGGAGTTGGAATAGTTTTGGGGTAGATGGAATTAAGAATTCTGACTTCAGTGTACCATATAAGGGATGCCAAATAAAATTCTAAGTGGAATTGCCAAATATCCAAATGGGAGACCTAAATTGGTCAGAGTCTTATACTAAACCATCTCGTAGACATTTGGCCTTCTTCATATCTAACCAGTCAGTGGTTGCTTCTCAGCTTAGGCATTGATACTTAATGTCAGTCAATTTTTCTTTGAGGAGTTACCATTTTCTTGCAGTGTCACCATAGTTCCAGGTATAGCAGCTCTATACTTCAGATAGAAGAAACCATGTGTAGTAGCCATCTGTAAAAGGGGATATAGGAGTATAAAAATATTCTGTGGAAAGAAACTTAGAGTATGCATTGAAAATCTTTGTTTCTACTACTTTTCCAGCTATGACACCTTGGTAAAGTCACTTAACTTCTTTCTCATTTTCTACTTCAATAAAGTGAATTTAATAAAATATCTCCTATCAACAAGGGGGTTTTGAAGATCAAGTGAATGAAGAGAACAATTATTGAGTGCCAAGCTTGTCTGTTATAACACAAGTTCTCATTTAATTCTCACAGAAACTCAGAGAGATAAATAAATATTATTCACCTTTTCACAAATGAAAGAAATAAGATTCTGAAAAATAAGTAATTGTTATCTTCTGTTTGCCCCTCCAGATGTGTAGAAGGGAAGAGAGTGAGGCTGAAGTACTCCTTCCTCTGACACCCTACCTGTAAGGTCATTCTGGGCTAACTGGCCCTTTTGACCAAAGGTCGCAAGACCTCCTCCCAAGTGGCCACTCAGTTCTCTCTGGTTCTGGGTTCCACTTACCACCCTCTCCCCTTATTCCCTGTGGTTTCCTGGTATGGTCTCACACTTTTATAAAAAATCCCTTTATTAAACATCTCAAATTGCCAAATTTGAGAATGCTGTTTCCACCTGGGATCCTAACTGATAAATATCCAAGGAGATATAGCCAGAAATCTTTGATTCAAACACACATCCTGTTTGATCTCATCCCATTCTTCTCAAGTGGAAAGAAACTTAGTAAACCATAAACTACTATTCAAGTATAAGATATTGGCAAATAATAGAGAATACCAGAGTTAAAAAGTACAACAAATACAACCGATTTATTTATTTCCAGACGAAGGAACACACGCTGAGAGGGAAAAGAAGGTGTTTTTAATTGTTAGGAAGCGATTTCATGATTGTTATGCTTACCAAAGATTAAAATACATACTCTAAATAGACTGGAATAAATCAACAGCTCTGTACATGATTGGTTAAAACAAACCCCATAATTCACTGGTCAAGAAAAAATAAATCTTCAGATAGGCCCTATGAGGCTCTTGCTTTAGCTTACCAGGGTCATTCAAAGTTCATGGTCTCTTTAACATCTCTAGCTGGTTGGGGGAGTGGAAGCACAACACAGTGCTCAACATGCTATCTCCTAGGTAGATTTTCCATTTCTGCTATAAATGGAAGAATTTACCTTTACTATATTATCATGTAACAGATGAAGAAAATAGTACCCAAATATATTAGATGGCTTGTCTGTGGTCATTTATACAACTGGCCTTTGGCAGATCTGAATATAGAATCCAAATACCTAATCCTCAGTCACTTTTTTCCTAATGTAATTAATGGAAACTTGTTAGGACTGCACCTGTATTATTCTTTAAATCTTCTGTAACTAGCATATAGTAGTTACTCAAATATTTCTTTCATGAATTGAAACTGTTAGTTCCTCCTGAATTTCTTTTAATTGTCTTAGGCAATTAAAGCTGCTATAGCAAATATACCATAGCTAGGTGGCTTAAACATTTATTTTCTCATAGTTCTGTAAACTGGGAAGTCTAAGATCAAAGTACTAGTAGATTCAGTACCTGATAAGAGCCTTCTTCCTGTTGCACAGACATCTACCTTCTTCATCCTACCCCAACCCTGCAAAATGCATGTTCCTTTCTTATGAAAAAAAAAATTCATTCCATTCCAATATCCCCAAAGTCTTAACTCACTCCAGCATCAACTCTAAAGTTAAGTCCAAAGTCTCCTCTAAATCATCTAAATTAGATACAGGTGAGACACATCCTGAGCAAAATTCCCCTCCAAATGAACCTATGAAATCAAGTAACTTTTATGCTTTCAAAATACAGTGTAAAGACAGATATTCCCATTCCAAAAGGGAGAAATAGGAAGAAGGAAAGGGTCATAAGTCCCATGCAAGCAGGAAACCTAGCAAGGCAAACTCCATGAAATCTTAAGTCCTGACAATATTCCCCTTTGGCTTCATGCTCTGCTTTTAGTACCACCTTTGGGACTCCCTGGGGTGGTGGCTCTGCCACTGCTGTTCTTCCAGGCCAGAGACATCCCCAGAGCTCTACCTGATAGTGGGTCATTCCCCCAAGGCTTTGCATGGAGTTCAACTGGCCTGTTGAAATTGAGGCAGTGGTCTCCCCTTTTAAAATTCGTCTTCAAGGTGGCAACCTTAACGATTCCAAATTGTTTTCAGGGTCATTCTTTCCCTGTGAAGAAGAATGGCTTACATTCTAACTGAATAACTCTGCGGTCCTGGTCCTATAAAACCCAAACAGTCCAACAGCCTTCCTTCATTCCATTCCATTTCCATCCCTTTCAGTTCAGACTAGAGCATTCCTGCTGGGGTAGCTGATGAGGTCTGCGGTTCATATCCATACTAACCTCCTTATCAGATGGTCAGCCACCCATATACTTAGTGTTTTTTTTCAAACGTGCTTTCTCATTTTTTGTGATGAGGATAGGCTTAGAATTTTCCAAATCTTTAAGTTCTTATCCTTCTCTCTTCTCTCATTTTACTGTAAGCAGTCATGGGGAAACAAGCCATTTCTTCAACACCTTGCTTAGAAATCTCCTCAGCTAAATACCCAATCTCATCACTTGCAACTTCTACCTTCCACAAAACACTAGAACACAAACAATTCAGCAAAGTTCTTTACTGCTTTATAACAAAGATCACCTTTCCTCCAGTATCCAATAACATATTCCTCATATTCCTCTGGTCATTGGGACCAGAATTACCTAGCTCCAAAACTGCTTCCACATTTTTAGGTATTTGTTACAGCGGCACCCCCACTCTTGTGTATCAACTTCTGTCTTAGCTCAGGCTGCCAACAAAAATACAATGAACAACTAACATTTATTTCTGAACAGTTGGAGACTGGAAAGTCCAAGAATAAGGCACCAGCAGATTTGGTGTCTGAGAGCCCTATTCCTAGTTGGCAGATGGCTCCCTTTTTGCCATGTCCTCACATGGCCAAGAGAAAGAGCTCTGGTCTCCATCCCCTTATAAGGACACTAATCCCATGGTGGTGGTGGTGGGGGTGTCCACCCTTATAACTTCATCTAAACCTAATCACCTCCCAAAGGCCCCACCTCCTGATATCACATTAGGGATTAGGGTCATATGGATTTGGGGGGAACAAAACATACAGTACATAGCACTAAATAATTTTTTTTCAAAGTGAAAGGACTATTGCTTAGAAATCATATAGGTCAAGACTGGAAAGAGGTAAAGGAATGGGGGCTGTCAATCCATGTTTGGTGAGTAAATGAGGAAATTCACCATGGGAATTAGATGAGTCAATTTGCCCCAATAAAATTACCATTGAGCATTTCTTGGAAACAGAGAACTTAACATGCATTATCTCAATTAATCCTCACAACAGCCCTACAAGTAAACTCAGATTCTTGGAGATCAAGATTTGCCACTCTTATGTGCCCTCTCTATTATAGGATTCTCAAATGAATGTATTCCTAAACTAACATTCAACCTAGGATTCAGGATTCAGAAGGCCAAGAGAAAGATCTAATGTATTCCTAAGGCTAACAGTTCTGCCTCAATCTTCTGTTCTCTTATGGTTTCAGTATTAATTCATTTCAACTTTGTTATTGTTGTTTGAAATCATTTATTTGAGCTCAACACAGTCAGAAAGAGAAGATGAAAAGAAAATACCAAACTTTTGTTTGCTAAGTAAGGGGAATCCCCTTTGTTTTCTAGGACAAAGGAACTGTAGCTTTGCCCCCAGTGGGGCCTTTGCCCAAGTCACAGGTAAACATTGAGACTAGCCTCAGGTAGGAAGCTCAGGTCTGTCTTCTCCCAGGAGATGGCAGCAGTGGCCACCGCAGCCACCACCTGCCGAAGAAGTCAGACAATTCATCCTTTTGCCTTTCGGCATCCAAACCTAGAAATTCCTGATTCCAGAGACCACTTTATCCCTCCCTTGGTTTGCTGAGCTTGGTTCTAGCTGAAGCACAAGGAGCACAGGAACTGGCAATGATTCCTCTCCTAAGTACCTAGTTTTTTTATAAACACTTCGGGCTGAGCTATGACCTTGAAGCATTGTGAAGGAGGACCAGGAAGTCTCTGGCCAGGGAAAAGAGCTTTAACAAGAAACAACGACTTAAACACTTACAACCACAGAGGCATAAGTCCAAAAGACCCCAGCTCACAATTTGGTGCTTCACAAACAACATAGATTATAGACCCAGCCTCCCAGCTACCAGCCAGCTGACCTTATCATTGAATCTTGTCAGAGCTGCAATTTTCTCATCCACCTAGTGTGAACTAGGTGATCTTTAAGTGACTGATAATTATTAAATTATGAGTTCCTGCACTTTTATTTTCTGGATTATGTAGGGTTGGGCCTTCACCCTTTCAGAATTTTAAGAACCTCAGACACAACGAAGCACTACTGGTTCCAAGTTAACCCCAGGTGAGCACATATCTCAGTTTGGTGAACACTGCCAGCTGCCTAGGAGGTGGGCAGGAATCCCAGGAAATGTCTTAACACCACACAGCTATGGAGGAACTCTCAACTGAAGGGGGTTGCTTTGCAAATTACCACATCTAAGTGAAGCTGACAAACGAACATTCTAAAAAGCAATTAACACTGATTCCTAGTGTATTTGGAACAAAAGACCTTTTGGGGAAAGTGAAATTGGCACAGAAAAAATTATCCCAGCCTTCTGGGTAGAAATGTTTGAGGTTAAGGGGATGCTTACGTCAGGATCTGTCAGGGCTTTTGTCCCATCACCACAGTTAGGGGCTAAACCGGGTTTTTGTGAAGGAGGAGACAGAACTAGCTCCTCTCACTTCGCCCATTTCATCCTACTTGCTGTCACCTTCATTGCCTGGACTGCTAAAACTTTCATCCATTCATTCAGTAAACATTTATTGGGCACCTACTGTGTGTGGTACTGGAAGTGCACCTGCCTATTAAGGAGCTCACAGTCAAGTAATGAGGCCTTAAATGGGTTAATACACAAAGCAT